TCAGATTTCATATTCCCTATAAATTCCCTTTGATATTTATCTTCGTCTTCCTCGAAGACGGTTTGCACGAATAACTCCGTTATGGGCAAATCCGACCTGGCTTTTAAGGTGTTTAATATGCTATTTACATTGTCGTTATAACCAAGGCCTTCTCTGTTAAAATTTGCTTTTAAAGTAATAGGTTTTCGCAACCCTCTATTGTTTTTACCCAATGTTTGACCAGGTCGCCAACCCAGTTTTAATAACATATTTAATGCTTTGTTCCCTTTTACATTGTAAGGGGTCGAATCGGGAACTAGTTCGACCTCTACAGCTCTAAATTTGGCTCAGGAGCCGTAACATCAGGTTGGTCATTAGTGAAATGTATTTCATGTACTTCATTAACCTTCTTTTTTCCCTCTTCGGGTTTACGCCATGTTTTGTATGATTGTTGTATTTCTTTATGTTTTTGCTCCGTATTATTATTAAACTTCCTCCTTTTCTCATTATAGTAAGGTTCACGACCTTCATCTTGTTTGTCGATGTCATCTAAGTTTCTTAAGAAATCTGTCGTGTCTATTATTGTCTCAATTTTAGCTATTCTCCATAATTGCTGCACAGTTTTAGGATAATGTCTGATGACATCAGTTACTAATTGTTTTTCAGGTATCGGATATGATAATGTTTGTGCCTTCTCAACAACATAAAGAAAATAACTAACCATGGTGGGGTGTGTACTTCTATTCCATTTATTTTGCACAAGGAATCTCTTTACTTTATTTTGTTCTTCTTCACCCCAAAACACTCTTAGGAAGTCAGCTTTAAAATCATCAAAAGTTGTCCAACGCACATTATTAATGCGAGCCCAATACTTGGCTTCACCTACTAAGCACTCTTTTGCTATCGAAATTTCGAGACCATTAGATGGAACTTTCTTTAAATAATTGGTGAGATCTTCCAAAAATGATACTGGATGAGTATTTCCATTTCCAAATTTCGGCTTTTCTATTGTTACATTATGTACATTATATACAATATTTTGTCTAGGATCATTTACATGAGAGGTGCTCGCCCCGGACACCTCTTTTTTCCTCAAGATCCTTTATTTTAACCTCAAAGGTTTTCACTGCATTCTTAATTAATTTCTGAAGCATTTTCATCTCATCTTTAGGCTAAGCCTTAATTGAGGTTGATTTTTTTCTTATTTTTAGCCATTTTTAATTTTTATTACCACTTGTTTTTTTTTTTTTTTTTTTTACACTTTTTGTGTCCTTCACTTACTTTAATTGAGTTTTTCCACTTATTTCACTTTATAATATATAGTATTGCAGTTTTTTTTTAACACCTGTTGTGTCCTTCACTTAGTTTAATTGAGTCTTTCCACTTTTTTTTTTTATTTTTTTTTACACCTGTTGTGTCCTTCACTTAGTTTAATTGAGTCTTTCCACTTATTTCACTTTTTATTATTTCGCTCCGTTATGCACAGACCTCCTATATTATTACTCCATTTTAATATTTAAGCCCCACCCCCAGACTCTCAACCACCCCCAGCAAACACCACTCTCCAAGACACCGCTCCATTTCACGGACAACAAATTGTAGGCATATAGCCTACCTCATAATTTTATATTACCGGCCTCCTATTTAAAATTTAACCTCTATCCTGGTCACGGCACCAAATTGTAACGAACCCCCCCCCCATCTTTTTTCTTTTCTACTATATATCCACTTATACTTGTATTTCTTTAGAATCTATATCTGTAAGATATATAAATATATCTAATTTACGTGACCAGTATAACTTGATCTTTCTAAAGGTTTAAATATAGGCCGTTTAATAAATTTATGGCGTGATCGTCTTAGTTAGGACCCTTTTTTACGTTGTGATTGTATAGTAACTTAGTTCTTTTAGGTGTATCTTGGAAGAATGAATATTCACGAGAGCAATCGAAAGCTGTTGGTAGAGTCTTATAAGCTAGAGAACCCCGTTCACGAAGACAGAGCTCAAAAAGGTTAAGAACAATAAATTGTCCCTATTCCACTTGTATCTGGTTCACAACAGTCAATTCCTTATTAATTAATCCCTTCCCGCTTGGAAAAGGCTCACAATATTTATATCAAATACCAGTTACAAGGGCTTCGCTCTCCCACATTTTAAAAAAAATGTGGAGGAGGTACACGGCCCCACACACGCCGCGCACGGTGAGCGCCAACCATTTTAATGCGCTCCCCCCGAAGGGTACGCAAAGTTGGGAACTGGACCGTAGTCCACAGCAAAATAACTGGCGAACCAGTAAAAGAGGACTTGGCCCCTTGATAGTGCGTAAGCACAAACATCGACCGAAGTCGCGCATGTCAATGCGTGTAAACGCCATACAGAATACGATCAAATCCAGTCACAGTGAATGTAAGTCACACGGGTTAGGCAACCATAGGCACACTGACCATAAAAAGCCTTCCGTGAGCGCCACCACCTGCCAGACCGCCGTTCCTGCAGACGTGATGTAAGTGTAAGGCATCACCACCAATTGCATGGTCAGCACGGCCAATTGGCCGCAGAGCGTGTCATGAGTCTACCGCTCACCTCAAGGGAATGGGGTCCCACGTTGCGCGGCTTTCGGCCGCAGCCTTGAGAGCCTCCTCAGATTCTCCCTCCAGCTACCACCCGCATGAGGTCAACACATATGCTCCACCAACCAATACAATGGCAGATATAGCCAATAGGCAGTTATAAGATAATATTAATAATTCGCCATCAGAAAGGGTTTGTGTTACTGACGTTGAGTATATGCATTTTTCGATCATGTTTGTCTCACCCACCAACAAGTTGCCTTCAATCTCTCAAAGGTGGGAACTTTATAGAGATATATTATTAAGTTGTTATATAAAACATCATGGAGGGCAGACAGTCTGCAGCCCCGCAATGAAGGGACCCGACTTGGGCAAAGCTACTTAGGTTGTGAGTCAAACCAAGACGCAGAGAGCGCCATTGAGAATAGCGACCCGCCAAACAACCATCGTAGAGACGCAATGCTACAGAATGCAACAAGCATCAATACGACTATCGTCGGGCTTACACCATCCCAAGGTCCCCCATACAGTCCCAGCAGACATCACCACCCGCATACCTCCATCGACCAGAACCACAAGATGCATCGAATCAGGTGCAGCACACCCGCAGATCCATCACAAGACACAATACTGCAAGTAGCAGTAAGCATCAATGCAACTATCATACGGATGGCGCCCCCTCACAACACACCCACATGATCCCTATCGACTTTGGTAACAAAATTTGATAATGTTGTTAACTAAAAATACCACCAACGTATCATAGTAGCACGGTACTAAGACGTCAGTAGCCAATACTCCACGTATCATAGCGCTATTGCACTAAGACATGAAGTTGAGTATGCTTGCTGCACTTAAAAGTACTACCAAACACACTCACCCTAATCCGAAAGATAGCCGACGTATCATAACGCTATGCGCTAAGACGCCGCCCACAACCGGTAGGGGTGTGCGATGTCCACGGGCAAGTCGTATTGCTACAACAAACCCGCTTACCACCGGCACTAAGATGATATGTCTAGGACACATCGGTTAGTGAGTCCAAGTTTACCTCGGTCTCAGAGGCTGCGAAGCAACCTACACGCCACTATAATAATCCTTTTCAAGTCCCATTTCTTTCAATATAATGCTTTTACATATTTGAGACCTTCCACATATTTGCTTTATTTCATAGACCATACTACTGTATGTCTTATTCATATGGGACTTCAAGTCATAACTCTGCTATCATAATGCTTATGCATCATAGAGACCTTCCATATTAATGCTTTGGTTCGTCAGACCTTACTATGTTAAGTCCCTAATATAGGACTAGTCATTGTGCAACCTTAGTACTAGCAGTCGGTCAGCCGACCACCCCATATATATGTACAACCTTGGGTATGTGTCTCCGACAACGCCCCAATATAAGGGAACATTACAAGAACACGTTCATTAACTTAGAAATTTTCTAATTATTACACGAACACCTTCATCAACTTAGAAAATTTTAATCCATTTTTTCTATTATATTACAAATGTTATTTATCTTTGTTATTGCAATATAATCGCCTTGTATTTATATGATTTGATACATTTTGAACATTTTAAGCAGGTTTTTAATAAATTTAGAGATTTTTAGAGACATTTTATGCGTTTACTAATATATATAATATTCAATATTCCAAATGGATATTTTTGAACTCTATGCTTATTATTTGCATTTTATTGTTTAAATTATAATTTCTAAGACATTTTTAAATGTCTGTATAATGAATTTAACTATTATTTATTAATAAAAATTATGAGGCGTCACAATCCACCCCCAAATTTTATGTTAATGATCCACATAGTGGAGTCGTTAATATAAAATTTTAGTATTTTGAGAGCATATACACTACACTCAAATAATTGTTTATATATCTGTTCTTTCCTCTTTTAATCTGTTACAATACGGCATATGTTATCAAATCCCCCTGCCCCAGAGAATGGCCGCCACCAACACCCCTTCAACCACAATTATCACAATGTGATAACACCATAATTTAAGTTATTGTATATCGTGTTGTTAATAAAGTTTGCAGTCAATTGTCGATTTCTTATTTTATTAATTTATCTTTAAATCTTTGAAACATTATTTCGATAGTGTCACACTTTATGTGCATACAATCCAGTTTGATATTTGTTGAGGTCAGTTCGATACCACATAGGATAAATGTGTTTGAGCCATTCGCCCTGACCCAACTCCCATATTTATTTAATAAAAATGATTACAAAATTATCTTACGATCTATATTTACAACTCTTCATTATATATTAGTAACGTTCTACTATCATATAACAAATCTCTTGCTCATAACTTTAATAATTTTAGACCTTTAACTTAAACAATTATTTCCATGGGCCACCCACAAAACCCTTTTATGTTACAATATTTATTTAATTACTCTAATTTATACAAAAAGAAATTATTATTTAAAATATTTTAATAAGTGAATAGCATTGAAAATTCCTCTAATTTCGTTTGTCTCTGGATTTGCTAAGGTATATACATTGTCAAATGGTACGGCTGCTATTACATAAGGTCCTTCATATGCCAAATTAAACTTACTCATAACTTTATTATCAGCGTCTGATCTACTATATCTTGAAATTTTTACTAAGTCACCAATATTATATTTTATTAATCTATTTCGCTTATCAAATTTTGTGTTTCTTATTCGACTTGCCTCTTTTAAATTTTTACGCACTTGTTGTCTAATTTGTTCGACATTATGTTTGTCTTTACTTTTGGAAATTACTTTGTCAAAAGACATCTCATTAGACTCACCATAAAGAATCTCACAAGGCGTGAAGCCTGTACTATTGTGATAAGAATTATTATACAATTCTTCTAATTTCGGCAATATTAACGCCCAATCTTTGTGGTTAGTATGACAAAGCGTCCTAAATAATCTGCTTAACTCTTTATTTACTCGCTCTGTTGTATTTGGTCTAGGATTTCTAACTGTGGTATATATTGGCTTTATATTTAATTCACTCATTGATTGTTTCCAGTGATTACTTACGAACTGTTTTCCATTATCTGTCATTATTGCCTTGGGCTTTATAATCTCAACAAAATGCTTTACTTTTGTTACAACAGACTTTGCTGTTGACTGTTTTAAAGGATATAATTTGATAAATTTACTGAATGAATCTTGAATGACAAATATGAAAGTGTACCCAAAGGTACCTGATACAAGCGGTCCATATAAGTCTGCCATGACTATATCGCCAATGTTTTCTGTTATTATAGATTTGCAGGGACCCACATATGTTATATTGCTTTTCTTAGATAACTGACATAAATGACAAGCCCTTAATTGGTTTTTAATATCTTTTGTTAAACCTTTTCAAAAGAATCTGTCTCTCACATATTTAATTACCTTATAGGGTCCTTGATGACCCATTTCGACATGCACTTGATTTATAATATCTTGTCTCAATGCTTTAGGTAAATATATTACTTCTTGTAAATTCGTTTTGTAATATAATACATCATTTTTCAAACTATACCTTTTAAATTTATTGTTTTGTTTTATTGTGGAAGTATTTAATGTCTTTAACTTTTTAATAATAGCCAACGACTCTGAATCTTGTAATTGATATACTGATAAGGATTTTAATTTTTCTATCAACTCAATATTCGGTTCGCTCTCTGTGTAAGCAATTTCTAAACTATTATTTTTATCCTCTTGTATTAAATCGCCATCAGGAGGATAACGTGATAGCACATCTGCAACAATATTACGTCTACCCGATATATGCTGTACTTCATAATTAAATTGTTCTATATACAAAATCCATCGGGTTACTCTACCATTGAATAACTTCATATTATTAATAAACAATAATGCTTTATGATCAGTTAGTATTATTACTTTACTGCCCCGCAAATATGTTTCAAATTTCTTTAGGCAGCTTATTACAGCATAAAACTCTTGTTCAGTAACAGACCAATTTAATTCGGGGCCTTTTAAGGCTTTACTATAATAGCCTAAAATTCTCATTTCATTATTATCATCTATCTGATATAGTACTCCGGCCATACCCACACCGGAACAATCTGTTTGTAAATAATACGGCTTATTAAAGTCTGGATGATGCAATTGTATTGTATTAATAAATTGTTGTTTTATAAAATCAAATGCCTTCTGTTCTTTACCGCTCCATTGGAACTTTCGTCCCTTTTTAAGTAATTCACAGAGCGGTATTATGCTCTCGCTGTAATTTGGTATAAACCTTCTATAAAAATTGCATAGACCTAAAAAGGCCCTTAATTGTTTAATCTTTTTAGGTGCTGGAAACTCTTGGATCGCTCGAATCTTATCGGGATCTGTCTTTATGCCTTCTGTTGAAATTATAAAACCCAGCATTTTAATTTCTTTACAAATAAATTCACATTTCTGCAAGTTACACGTTAAGCCAGCTTTGTTCAATTTACTTAAAACAATATCAATGTGCTCCAAATGTTTATCTAACGTTCCTGTTGTAATAATGGCTAGATCATCTAAATAGTTCACACAAAATTCTTGGACTCCTGGTCCTAATATTAAATTCATGGCTCTGCTAAAGCTTCCTACTGATGTTTTTAATCCTTGCGGCAAAACATTATATACATATGACTTTCCATTGAATGTGAATCCAGTATATTTTCTACCATCTTTATTTATCGGAATTTGAAAATATGCATTATTTAAGTCAATGGTAGTGATATAATTCGCTCCGTGAAATGAATTCAAAACATCTAATTGTATAGGTGGTTTCTCTGTTTCTGCAACCATTTTCTTATTTATGCCTCTGGCATCAAGCAGAACTCTAATTGAGCCGTCTTTTTTAAGAGTGAATGTCAATGGACTACTGTAAGGCGTTGATGTCCTTGTGATGATACCAGCTTGTTCCATTTCATTTAACTTTTCTTCCATTTTCGCTCTATATGCATATGGAATGGGATAGGACCTAGTAACTATAGGTTCATCATCGATCATTTCAATTTTATGCTCATAGCAATTGGCTCTTCCCAATTTGCTCGAAAACATATTCTTATGCTTTTCCAAAACCTTACTAAGTTTTGCCCTTTCAGAGACCTCCAATGTAGATCCTATTTTTATATTTATTAAGGGATCATCGGTACATTGTTTGATGCAGTTATTATGTAATACAGATTTATTATTATATTTGAAAGGTATAAAGTAGTCTTTGTTTTTCACTTTAAATTCTATTCCAACAGTAGTATTTCTCAAATCAATCAATATTTTATTTCTCTTGAGCCAGTCGAAGCCTAATATTAAAGGTCTTATTAAATTACCTACAATTAAAGTTTGTGTTTCAAAGACTACTTCATCTATCTTTATAGGCAATATGATCATCTGTTGTATTTTTGTGCTGCGCTGCCCAACAGCACCTTTTATTTGCATTGCTTTAACTGGCATTATTGATATTTTACGATTATTTTCTTTAATTTGTAAATATAAACTTTCTGAAATGCATGTAACATCGCTCCCAGTGTCGAGGAGCGCGTCTATTTCTTTGTCAAATATTGAAACTTTAATTTCAGATTTCATATTCCCTATAAATTCCCTTTGATATTTATCTTCGTCTTCCTCGAAGACGGTTTGCACGAATAACTCCGTTATGGGCAAATCCGACCTGGCTTTTAAGGTGTTTAATATGCTATTTACATTGTCGTTATAACCAAGGCCTTCTCTGTTAAAATTTGCTTTTAAAGTAATAGGTTTTCGCAACCCTCTATTGTTTTTACCCAATGTTTGACCAGGTCGCCAACCCAGTTTTAATAACATATTTACATATTAATATATATATAATAATACATATTAATGCTTTGTTCCCTTTTACATTGTAAGGGGTCGAATCGGGAACTAGTTCGACCTCTACAGCTCTAAATTTGGCTCAGGAGCCGTAACATCAGGTTGGTCATTAGTGAAATGTATTTCATGTACTTCATTAACCTTCTTTTTTCCCTCTTCGGGTTTACGCCATGTTTTGTATGATTGTTGTATTTCTTTATGTTTTTGCTCCGTATTATTATTAAACTTCCTCCTTTTCTCATTATAGTAAGGTTCACGACCTTCATCTTGTTTGTCGATGTCATCTAAGTTTCTTAAGAAATCTGTCGTGTCTATTATTGTCTCAATTTTAGCTATTCTCCATAATTGCTGCACAGTTTTAGGATAATGTCTGATGACATCAGTTACTAATTGTTTTTCAGGTATCGGATATGATAATGTTTGTGCCTTCTCAACAACATAAAGAAAATAACTAACCATGGTGGGGTGTGTACTTCTATTCCATTTATTTTGCACAAGGAATCTCTTTACTTTATTTTGTTCTTCTTCACCCCAAAACACTCTTAGGAAGTCAGCTTTAAAATCATCAAAAGTTGTCCAACGCACATTATTAATGCGAGCCCAATACTTGGCTTCACCTACTAAGCACTCTTTTGCTATCGAAATTTCGAGACCATTAGATGGAACTTTCTTTAAATAATTGGTGAGATCTTCCAAAAATGATACTGGATGAGTATTTCCATTTCCAAATTTCGGCTTTTCTATTGTTACATTATGTACATTATATACAATATTTTGTCTAGGATCATTTACATGAGAGGTGCTCGCCCCGGACACCTCTTTTTTCCTCAAGATCCTTTATTTTAACCTCAAAGGTTTTCACTGCATTCTTAATTAATTTCTGAAGCATTTTCATCTCATCTTTAGGCTAAGCCTTAATTGAGGTTGATTTTTTTCTTATTTTTAGCCATTTTTAATTTTTATTACCACTTGTTTTTTTTTTTTTTTTTTTACACTTTTTGTGTCCTTCACTTACTTTAATTGAGTTTTTCCACTTATTTCACTTTATAATATATAGTATTGCAGTTTTTTTTTAACACCTGTTGTGTCCTTCACTTAGTTTAATTGAGTCTTTCCACTTTTTTTTTTTATTTTTTTTTACACCTGTTGTGTCCTTCACTTAGTTTAATTGAGTCTTTCCACTTATTTCACTTTTTATTATTTCGCTCCGTTATGCACAGACCTCCTATATTATTACTCCATTTTAATATTTAAGCCCCACCCCCAGACTCTCAACCACCCCCAGCAAACACCACTCTCCAAGACACCGCTCCATTTCACGGACAACAAATTGTAGGCATATAGCCTACCTCATAATTTTATATTACCGGCCTCCTATTTAAAATTTAACCTCTATCCTGGTCACGGCACCAAATTGTAACGAACCCCCCCCCCATCTTTTTTCTTTTCTACTATATATCCACTTATACTTGTATTTCTTTAGAATCTATATCTGTAAGATATATAAATATATCTAATTTACGTGACCAGTATAACTTGATCTTTCTAAAGGTTTAAATATAGGCCGTTTAATAAATTTATGGCGTGATCGTCTTAGTTAGGACCCTTTTTTACGTTGTGATTGTATAGTAACTTAGTTCTTTTAGGTGTATCTTGGAAGAATGAATATTCACGAGAGCAATCGAAAGCTGTTGGTAGAGTCTTATAAGCTAGAGAACCCCGTTCACGAAGACAGAGCTCAAAAAGGTTAAGAACAATAAATTGTCCCTATTCCACTTGTATCTGGTTCACAACAGTCAATTCCTTATTAATTAATCCCTTCCCGCTTGGAAAAGGCTCACAATATTTATATCAAATACCAGTTACAAGGGCTTCGCTCTCCCACATTTTAAAAAAAATGTGGAGGAGGTACACGGCCCCACACACGCCGCGCACGGTGAGCGCCAACCATTTTAATGCGCTCCCCCCGAAGGGTACGCAAAGTTGGGAACTGGACCGTAGTCCACAGCAAAATAACTGGCGAACCAGTAAAAGAGGACTTGGCCCCTTGATAGTGCGTAAGCACAAACATCGACCGAAGTCGCGCATGTCAATGCGTGTAAACGCCATACAGAATACGATCAAATCCAGTCACAGTGAATGTAAGTCACACGGGTTAGGCAACCATAGGCACACTGACCATAAAAAGCCTTCCGTGAGCGCCACCACCTGCCAGACCGCCGTTCCTGCAGACGTGATGTAAGTGTAAGGCATCACCACCAATTGCATGGTCAGCACGGCCAATTGGCCGCAGAGCGTGTCATGAGTCTACCGCTCACCTCAAGGGAATGGGGTCCCACGTTGCGCGGCTTTCGGCCGCAGCCTTGAGAGCCTCCTCAGATTCTCCCTCCAGCTACCACCCGCATGAGGTCAACACATATGCTCCACCAACCAATACAATGGCAGATATAGCCAATAGGCAGTTATAAGATAATATTAATAATTCGCCATCAGAAAGGGTTTGTGTTACTGACGTTGAGTATATGCATTTTTCGATCATGTTTGTCTCACCCACCAACAAGTTGCCTTCAATCTCTCAAAGGTGGGAACTTTATAGAGATATATTATTAAGTTGTTATATAAAACATCATGGAGGGCAGACAGTCTGCAGCCCCGCAATGAAGGGACCCGACTTGGGCAAAGCTACTTAGGTTGTGAGTCAAACCAAGACGCAGAGAGCGCCATTGAGAATAGCGACCCGCCAAACAACCATCGTAGAGACGCAATGCTACAGAATGCAACAAGCATCAATACGACTATCGTCGGGCTTACACCATCCCAAGGTCCCCCATACAGTCCCAGCAGACATCACCACCCGCATACCTCCATCGACCAGAACCACAAGATGCATCGAATCAGGTGCAGCACACCCGCAGATCCATCACAAGACACAATACTGCAAGTAGCAGTAAGCATCAATGCAACTATCATACGGATGGCGCCCCCTCACAACACACCCACATGATCCCTATCGAATTTGGTAACAAAATTTGATAATGTTGTTAACTAAAAATACCACCAACGTATCATAGTAGCACGGTACTAAGACGTCAGTAGCCAATACTCCACGTATCATAGCGCTATTGCACTAAGACATGAAGTTGAGTATGCTTGCTGCACTTAAAAGTACTACCAAACACACTCACCCTAATCCGAAAGATAGCCGACGTATCATAACGCTATGCGCTAAGACGCCGCCCACAACCGGTAGGGGTGTGCGATGTCCACGGGCAAGTCGTATTGCTACAACAAACCCGCTTACCACCGGCACTAAGATGATATGTCTAGGACACATCGGTTAGTGAGTCCAAGTTTACCTCGGTCTCAGAGGCTGCGAAGCAACCTACACGCCACTATAATAATCCTTTTCAAGTCCCATTTCTTTCAATATAATGCTTTTACATATTTGAGACCTTCCACATATTTGCTTTATTTCATAGACCATACTACTGTATGTCTTATTCATATGGGACTTCAAGTCATAACTCTGCTATCATAATGCTTATGCATCATAGAGACCTTCCATATTAATGCTTTGGTTCGTCAGACCTTACTATGTTAAGTCCCTAATATAGGACTAGTCATTGTGCAACCTTAGTACTAGCAGTCGGTCAGCCGACCACCCCATATATATGTACAACCTTGGGTATGTGTCTCCGACAACGCCCCAATATAAGGGAACATTACAAGAACACGTTCATTAACTTAGAAATTTTCTAATTATTACACGAACACCTTCATCAACTTAGAAAATTTTAATCCATTTTTTCTATTATATTACAAATGTTATTTATCTTTGTTATTGCAATATAATCGCCTTGTATTTATATGATTTGATACATTTTGAACATTTTAAGCAGGTTTTTAATAAATTTATAGATTTTTAGAGACATTTTATGCGTTTACTAATATATATAATATTCAATATTCCAAATGGATATTTTTGAACTCTATGCTTATTATTTGCATTTTATTGTTTAAATTATAATTTCTAAGACATTTTTAAATGTCTGTATAATGAATTTAACTATTATTTATTAATAAAAATTATGAGGCGT